CGGCGGAAGAACTGAAGCGGCACGAGGCGTCTGCAGGGCTTTGCCGGCGCGACGCCGTGGACGTGCGGCTGAGAGCATCTCCCGCCGCGTCCCCAACAGTCCGCACAGGCCACTTTTTTGACGCCGGCGCCAAATAAACGGTCCAGTCGTGCCCCCAGAACGATGAAAAGCGCCGGTTCGGCCCTTTTTTCCGTCCGGCGGCCGCAGGCCGAATCCGGCGCGCTGGGGCGCCTGGGGGCTCCGGCGCAAGGGAAAAGCGCGGCTGGCCCACGCCGTCAGGTGAAAAGTTAAGGTTTTCTTCCGCGACCGCCTCCCACCCCCCGCGCTCTCGGACGCAAGTAGGTATATCCCGTCTCCGCCCCCGCGCCGCCCCACCGCTCTTCACCGATAGATAGTCATTCCCCGCTGGAAAAAAAGCATAGGTTCGCCGCGACAGCCCCTCCGGCACCAGCTGGGCGTTTCCGGCCTCCCTTTCCAGCCGCGGAGGGGCAGTTTAGCGGCGGGTGCACGCCCACCGCGCGCAAGGTGTTCGGCGATTTGCCTGCCTCGGCGATGGACTCGGATGACGAGGAAGTGCTCGCCGCGCTGCTGGAGGAGGAAGCCGAGGCCGACGTCCAGGAAGAAGAGCATCTCATGGTGCTCGCCGCCCTCGCCCAGCTGCTGGCGAGCAATGAAAAGCCGCGGCGAGGTGGCTCGGCGCCCGGGGCGGGTGAAAGCAAAGAACTGGCATTGTCTCGAAGGCTACTGCATGCTCTACTCCGACTACTTCACCGATGCTCCACTTCACGGCGACAAAACATTTCGGCGCCGTTATCGGGTGAACAGAAAGCTTTTCCTCGGGATTGTGAATTCCATCCGGGAGTTCGACAACTACTTCAAATGCAAGATGGATTGCACCGGCAAACTTGGATTCACCTCCATCCAGAAATGCACGACAGCGATGAGGATGCTTGCATAAGGAGCTCCCGGTGACTCACAGGACGACTATGGGCGCATGGCCGAGTCCACCAGCATAGAGTATTTCTACAAGTTCTGTCGGGCAGTGGTGGCAGTGTTTGGATCGCAATACTTGAGAACACCCAATGCGGAAGACACTGCTCGGATCCTAGCACAGAATGCAGCAAGAGAATTTCCTGGGATGCTTGGAAGCATCGACTGCAGGCATTGGAATTGGAAGGATTGCCCATTTGCTTGACAGGGGATGTACAAAGGCGCCAAAGGCGGTTGCAGTGTGGTACTTGAGGCGGTGGCCACATAGGACCTCTGGATTTGGCACTCCTTCTTTGGTATGCCAGGAACTCACAATGACATCAACGTGCTGCAGTGCTCTCCTGTCTTTGCCAAGCTTGTTGAAGGTCATTCTCCTCCGGTGAACTCCGAGATCAATGGGAGGCACTACAACAAGGGGTACTATCGAGCTGATGGCATCTATCCTATGGTCGACATTTGTCAAGACCATCAAAAACCCTGTGCTTGAAGGCAAGAACGCCTGGTTTGCGAAGATTCAGGAGGCTTGCAGGAAGGATGTCGAGCGGCCATTTGGTGTGCTCCAATCTCGATTTGCTGTTGTTCGGTACCCCGCTCAGACCTGGTCGAAAGATCAAATGTGGGAGATCATGACCTGTTGTGTCATCTTGCACAACATGATCATTGAGAGCGAGCAGGAAGAGCCAGTGTTTGACACTGAACCATACCACCGGCAGAGTCCTCTTTCCCAAGTTGATCACCAGCTACCGGCAACCTGGACTGCCTATCTCAGTATGCGTCAGGAGATCCGAGACCCACAGGTGCATCATCAACTGCAGCAAGATCTGATAGAGCACCTATGGAGGCTCAAGGGCAACACCGGGCGCGACGTGTGATGAAATATGAGTTTTTATTTGTTGAACTATATAATTTGTATTGAACTATTTGTTGTTGTACTATTTTGTTGAAGTACTTGAAATTTCTGTGATGAAATATGGGATAAAAAATTATTTATGTTGATATAATTGAACGCTGAGCCATGACGAACCACGCCGAATATGGGCCTATTCTCGTCTATATGGGCCTTTTTCGTTGAAATGGGGCTTCAAAAGTGGGCCAAAATTAATGACTAGGGGTGAGTTGGGGGCGACGACTGGGCGCAAAACCGCCCCAGCGCCGACAGAATTGCCAGCTCGCCCCAGGAGGCGATTTTTATGCGCCCTGGGGGGCCGAACGGCTGGAGATGCTCTGAGCGATCAGCACGTTTGCATGCATACTTGCAGCTGCGCCGTCGCGGAGGCATATTCTGCGGGGAAATCGAAGGAGTTGATCAGATCGCAGCTCCAATAATACTCCTTCTCCACGTTCCTCTTGAATGAATAGAGTTGTTGATCTAAGAGCATCTATAGACGTATGCATCTCATGCAGAGGCCGGGGTAAACCCCTTTTAAAAAAAAGCATCTACAGCTGCACTTCGCAAATCCGACCCTCAAACGTATGTGGAAGCGTCCAGTGACCGGTCACCCCTCAAAAAACGCATTTCACATCCGGCTACCTCAAATTAAAAACCTCAAATCCATATTATTACACGCAACATAAAACCTAATCTACGCGGAGCTCGTCCGGTTATGTCCGGCGGCTGGCTGCACTCCTCAGAGTGTTGTGCCGGTCGTCGGCAAGGTAGTGTAGGGCATGGGACACGAGCTGGCTCACGGAACTCAAGGCCCTGCCGTCTTCCATGCCCTACTCTTTCTCGTCGGAGACCGGAGCCCGAACGGTGCTGGTGGACGTTAGATCTATGATGGATCCATCCGGAGACGAGCCGCCGACGTCCTCCATGATGCGGTTGCGGCGCCCGGACTGATGCGCCATACGGGATGCCGGAGAATGCGAGTCCACCTCGCCGACATCCGCAGCCGCGAGGGCTGCCACCGCCTCCCACGCCCGCTGCCTTGCACGGCGGGCACGCCGTGCCATGGCCTCGTCGAACGAGGCCCATGGTGTGTCCCGATGCTCGGGGCGCCACCGGAGAGGTTGCGCGTCCGTGAGCGCGTTCGAACACCAGACGGACCGCACGGCCTCCGGCGAGGCAGTTATGGCCGATCTAGCACCGGATCCATGCCCCATTTGGGCGGACGCAATGGATTCCCGGCGTATGGAGTCTGAGAGCATCCGTCCACGGTCCTCCTCCCGGGCGTGGCGGAGCGCAAGCCGGACGACCATCTCCTCCTCGGGGACGCACGAGATGAGCTCGGGGTCGATGGATCTGGAGTTGAAGGACTCGGATCCGCTGCCCGCCGTGCCGGAGAGGACCGGAAGAAGCCGAAGACGAGTTTGGGCGGCGGAGTGGAGTGGAGGGGAGGGGAGTGAAGTGACTAGGGTTTGGTTCGATGAAAGGATGGGGAGGATTTTATATGAGGTCGGGTGGGCCAGTGTAGGCCGGGTCCGACGTAGCGGACATGCCCGGGCACCCCAAATTCTCCCGATATTTGGGCTGGATATGGGGGTGCCGGTCAGCCCGAGCGTTTGTGGGGTCCGTCTGGGTCAAAAAATCGTGACCGGGCAACGACATGTCCGGACGTATGAGGCGAATTTGATAGATCCGGTTGTAGATGCTCTAATGCCTTGAAATCTCTTAGTTAAACTATAAGCGCCACAATGAACTGACGGAACGATGTGTAGACTAGACCTTTTCTTCCAGAACACTACTTTAGACTGTTTAGAGCATCTCTATCAGACCCTACAAAATCCCGACCCGCATAAGCCGTTTACAGGTCGACGAAGATCTCGTTTACGGGTCGAAAACGTGCGCCGCAGTACAGAAACCATATATGAAACTGCATAATTTGAACAAAAATTTCGCAGAAGAAATTGCAACCACAGTAGTTCATCACATACTATATATATTACATGATTAAACACTGTTTCATTACAAACACTAGTTCATATTAAATACAACATTCACTACTAGTAGTAGGGGGGTGGGGATCTCACGGCGAGCTCGCGGCCATGGACGACTCAGTGAAGGAGCTCAATCCTCCTTGTCGGAGCTGCCGAGGTCGATGTACTTCTTCTTTTACTCCTCACGGATACGCCACCACTCGTCGTCCTTTTCCTTGGTAGCAAGGTTCGCCGCGACCGAAGCTCCACATGGCGTTTCGAGGCGGATGCGGGCTCGCCGACGACGAGAAATGCGAGGAGGCAGTGGGGAATTATGGAGGAACACGGCGGCGGAGGGATAG